TGGTGGAAGAGTTCGTAGAACTGCTTCCATTTTAGTTGGAGGTGGTGGAGGATTGACTAGAGAAAATAGTGTAAGAACCCTTCCTCCTTACACGGAGATGGCAGAAGAACCTTCTGAACAACCAGGTGTCATCTCCATGTTTACTAGATACTTTTTTCCTCCTGGAGAATTACCACCACCTTATGAAGATTTACGTTCGAATGAAACAAGAAATGATGATATTAGAAGGATATCAACTTTAAATTATGTTAGTGATGTTCAAGGTGATCCTAATGATCCTACTAATCGTAATATCACTGATCCAGAAGGAGGGAATATATTGGATGATGTTAGAGGTGGTGTTACTTTTGAAGAATTATCTAGGTCAGAAACAATATCACCACGTTCTACAATTACAAGACAGATATTACCCGAAGCTGGAGGTACAGGTACAGAGTCAACAAGTTTTGAAAATGATCGGGATCAGGTTGATGAAACAGATGAAACAGCCAAATTAAATGATAACAATGACAACTAGAAAAATAATTCACAAAAATTTATTAGTTGTAGTAATTATTTGTAATATATTCGTACATAAAAAAAAGTTATTTACAGTATGTAAAAATGTTTATAAAAATCATTATAAATATATTTAATATAAGAAATTAAATTGAATAGATTTTCGGTTCAAATTAATTTTTTTTCGAAATATTAATGGTTCTTTAAAAATATATTTTTTTGATCTTGAGCATGCAACAATGTTTACATTTCTTTAAAATTAGACATTAATTGTTATTGTTATTAATATTTCTAGATGCATGAAAATTTACCATACATTGCATGATTACTACTGTACTATGATTTTACTGATCTCACTAATCTCACTAATCTTACTAATCTTACGTGGTTTGTTATTTTTAGAATATCTCATCCAACGTTAACGTTAACTGTTAACTGTTAATTGTCTTTTTTTTACGTACGTACACAAATACGTACGTAAGTACGTACGTAGAAATCTAGCAAAGAAAAAGAAAAATTTTCCGATAACGTTTTTAAGTTTTTGGTTGCATCATCTTGAAATATATATCTCTTCATCGTGTATAATCGTATATAATCGTGTGTAATCGTGTATAATCGTGTGTGTGTAATCGTGTGTGTGTAATCGTGTATAATCGTGTATAATCGCTTAAAAGTCTCACTCATGTCACTCATGTCACTCATGTTCTTTAACTTCATGCACATTCCCCATGTACGTAACATCCGACATGTAGGTAACATCCGACATCGTAACGATTTCCATTAGCTGCTAGGTAGGTCTCGATTTCCATTGCTGTTAGGTAGGTCTCGATTTCCATTGCTGTTAGGTAGGTCTCGATTTCCATTGCTGCTAGGTAGGTCTCGATCTCGTTCATCAATATCAATGTATCGATATTGGAGTACGTACGTACGTACGTACCAGTCATGCATTGCAGCTTTCTCCAACTATATCCCTTATTAGGATAGTGAATAGTTACTCAACGGTTTTATGTTTGTTATTGGACTATTTAACGTATACCTCCAGTTTCTAGTTCTACGTATTGACATATTAATTAGAGTTCATTACTGTACAAACCATTTGATAACTCATTTGATGACTGGTACAGTATATTAATAGCTAGCTAGGTCTATAAGATATTCAAACTATATATTATTATTCAAGCGCTATCGTTATGTGATTATACAGTAACAGATAATAAAGCACGTACGTACGTACTTTTGACAAATATGTCATCGTTACGTTTCAGGACCTATCATTTCGATGAGCTCTCTCTTATACGTAAAACTTAAATAAAAGACGCGCGTTTGACTGCAGCATATTAACGTTAGTGGAACGAATAAATCACAAGTTTGACTTATGCTTGAGTTATGTTTGAATTATGATAACCTCTTAATTTAATTCTTAATTTAATTATTATAACCTCTTAATTATTTATTTATCTATCGATTGAAATCAATAGAAATAAAAACAATAGTAAATTCATATTTTAAAAAATATATATATATTACCTTAGTAAGCCATTTAAAGAGTTTTGGACAACGTACCATACGGTAATTAACAAAAATATAGCGATATATATATATAAATAAAAAATTATTTATATATATATATTAAAAAATTTTTAAAAAATAATCTAAAGGGTCATTTGAGGATTTCTCAAAAACCCGTAAGATACGCAGCATTCAATGAAATAAAATAATGGTTTGTTTTTTTTTTTTTTTCTCAAGGAAAAAAAAAAAGTGGTCTCTGTTCGAAATATCATGGAATTTTTATATCAATTATTGAACACAATTAACTGCATTTTTTTTTCAAATACGTATATATATATACGTAAGTATACATTCATACGTATGTATGTACGTATTAGTTATGCACTTTTAATAACGGTAACATGTAAGATCCGAAGTTCCCAATTCAGGTCATCCCTGCAAACAA